AAGAAATGCATTAATACCTCCAATGAAGACTTCAGAAACAAAATTACTTCCTGGATCAAACCTTTCATCCATCCATTCTCTTGATTCAAAGTAGAAGGACATAGTGTATTTTAAAATTTTGAGAGAGAATAATGAGTTGAATCTTTTCCTCGAGTAGGTTTGATTATTAAATAGAGCCACGACAGAGCCACTGTAAAACCGTGGCTAAGATAAAAATCACCTTTAAACCACGAAAAAGCCACAAAATAAACGTGATTAACTCGCTTTAGCCGGTCTATGTCGGCACAAAATACCAAAACACAACAAAGCCACGATGAAACTGTGGCATCTTCGTGGCTTCTTATGTCGGCAGGAAAAAAAGATATGCCACTATTAGTTTTCGTGGCCAAAGCGTGGCTTTTGGGCTTTACCACGAAGAAATCGTAGCTGGTATCGTGGCTTTATAGGCCACGAATTTATTTCGTGGGTATTTCGTGGCTTATTTCCTTATGTTTCGTGGCTTTTTTTATTTCGTGGCTCTTGCGTGGCTGTGTCGTGGTTTTTACCGTTTAGCCACGGTTTTGTAGTGGCTTCTTCGTGGCTATGCGGCAGAATTTTACTAGTGATATGGTTGTATTGTAACTTGTCTCACTTTATTGATTGCGGATGGAGTTTGCAAAATTTTGATCAGTTCACTTTTGACTTTCTCCTGTTCTTCCTTAAAAATGAATGGCAAATCGAAAACAAAAATAATGAAAACGTAAATAGGTCAAGAAGAAAGAATTTAGATTTGTTTCCTTTGTTAAGTCTAATACTCCATGAGAGCGTACCAGGTATTTTATAATATATTATGTTTCATGCAACTGCAAGTTCTTTGTATTCAAATATTATATTATACTTACTGAACAAATCAACAAACCAGCTTTAAGATATATGTTTGACTTTGTTCAAAAAAAAAAGTTATATGTTTGACTTTGTTCAAAAAAAAAGATATATGTTTGACATTACAAAAGGCAGGGACAGTACATAGGGGTTTTTTTCTTTTTGAAACACAGTACATAGGTTATGTGAAACAAACCAGGAGGTTACTTCTGAGAAGAAGAGTTTTACAACAAAGGGACTTCCGTGTAGGAAGAAGAAGATGAGGGCACATGAATGGATTCGGCACCCCCAAACAACAACAAATTCTTTGCCTTGTGGATGAAAGCGTCAACGATGCTGAACCAAAATCTTCTCCAAGGAGAGTCAAAAGAGAGAGATGTGAATATTCCAAGGAGTATAGTCACATAAGCTGCAGCTACACTCCAGTAGAATGAAACCATGTCGATTTTGCTCTCATCGTCCTTTATACCATTTTCTGGTTCTTGATAGTGACTGTTGTCGCAGCTTGTGTTGATTGATTGTCCGCAAAGAAGAGGATTACCTAAGTAGCTTTTTGCATCAAAGGTATTGAACTGTTTTCCTTGTGGAATGACTCCAGATAAGTTGTTGAAGGAGACATTGAAAACAGCTAAGTTGCACAGCTCCGTTAGTTGTGATGGGATCCGGTCTTGTAACCTGTTGAAGGAGAGATCAAGGCTTTCCACATTCTTCAGACCTGAAAAGCTTTTTGGTATCAACCCTGACAAGCTATTGTGAGAAAGATTAAGAGATTGTATCTCCAAAAGACCTCCAAGATCTGTAGGGATATCACCACTCAACTCATTTTTTGAGAGATCCATTCCAAACAACAATTTGAGATTCTCACCAAGGTAGGTATCGTATCGGTGCTTTGTCGCGAATTCAATTTTAATCCGGGTGATTGTCTTGTATATCAATATAAATGGTTCCACCAGGATAAGAGATTCAAAATATATACGGAAACCCTCTACACGGAAGTCTCTCTGCGGAGTAAAACCAGTGAACTTAATATCAATAGCTACAATACTTCCGTAATCCTGATCAAATACTGAATCCTCTTTCCCAAAAGAAAATGATGTATTGCTGAAGCATGAAGGTATGGACCCATTCAATCTGTTGTCGGCAAGATCAAGAAGTTTTATGTTTCTTAGACCACACAACCGGTGAGGAATACTACCTGATAAATCATTCCCTCGAAGAAGAAGAGTATGTGTGTCTTGGGTGTTACTGAACTCCGGAATATTCCCAGACAATCTATTATTTCTCAGATCAAGAATAGTGACGTTAATCAACAATGTGTCCGGAATAGCCCCGGACAAATTATTATCTTGAAGGAGTAATAATACCTGTCTTGTCGAATTGACCTTTGGAGGTATGCCCCCAGATAAAATGTTTGCGGAAAGGTCCAGCAGCTCAAGATCAGTTAAGTTGAACAAAGAAATAGGTATTTCACCTTCCAATGAGTTGTTTGAGAGTAGTAGTGCCTGCAAGTTTTGAAACTCACCAATCCAGCTTGGAATAATACCTGTGAGATTGTTGTTTGAAATGTCTAGCAGTTCCAAGAATTCCATGCTCCGCAAACCTTGACCAATCTTTCCTGTAAAAAGATTGTTATCCATGGACAGCTCTTTTATTCCAGGAAAGTTGACTGTTTCCGAAGAAAACGCCTCTCCACTTAGTTTGTTATGTGACAGTGTCAAGAATGCCATTGAATAACAACCCGTAAGAAAACTTCTTGGCAGTGTCCCATGGAAGCTGTTGTGAGATAAATCCAGATATAATATATCTTCCATGTTACCAAGAGAAGATGGTAAAAATCCATGAAAACCGTTATTAGCTAGTTTCATATAATGTAAATGAGGAAGTATCCACCCAATATTCTCAGGAAGCATATGATTGAAGTCATTGGCTGAAGCATCCAAGAAATGCAGATTATGAGCAGAATCTTGAAGCTGAAAGCTTGTAAACGAATTATTTTGTAGAAACAAAACTTCGAGTTTTGAATTGTTGACCAATAGCCAATGAGGAAAATCTCCTGACATTTTATTGTTAGAGAGATCAATGCGACTCAAATCCTTTTGGTATAGGAGAAAACAAGGAACCTTCACCAAGTTGCAAGATGGTAGTTCAATAACACTCAGCTGAAATTTTGGCTTCCAGTTACTTTTAGATTTTACTTGAAATGATTTGGATTTCGAACCAAGTTTGAAAACCCTCAACTCCGAGAGGTTGGCAAGCGAACCAAGTGAGAAGAAGCCTTCAAAATTGTTATCTAACAACGATAAGTACTTGAGGGATCTAAGGTTACCGAGAGAAGATGGAACTTTCCCAATCAATTGGTTTGATGAGAGATCAAGAACTCGAAGTCTAGTCAAGTCAGTTAAGCATAAAGGAAACTGGCCTTCAAGTTTGTTATGACTGAGATCAAGCTCTTGCATATTTTTCATTTCGCAAATTCCTGTGATGATCAAATGCAAATTTACATACACATCAGTAAACGTTAATTCACCACCAACTTTAATGAAGTAACATAGTATATGTATGGACTTGCCTTGTAATCCCATTGATGCAAAAAATTCATTACCACTTAGATCCAAAGCTTTCAGATTCCTTAGAGCAGGTAACACTGCCACAAGATAAAACCACACAAAGCCAAAAAAGAAAAAAAAAAAAAAACAACTTTGCCTGTGAACATGATGATCTCAAGAAAATATGTTGTACGGAAAGTACTTTGAGCTACCTAGCATTGGTAAAGGGCCATTAAATTTGTTTTCACTCAAGTCCAGCAGCTCCAAGTTTGTGAGATCTTTAAGTTCTGAAAGGAGTCCAACATAAAACAAATATCTTACAAATTAACAGAAGGCATAAGAAGTTAAAACTAATAATCTTAGAGCAAGTAGGTCAAGCTGAATCAAATCAGAGAAAGTAGCAATTCCAATAGAGGGTTCTAGTACCTAGCACCGGAGTTCTCAAAATACATATATATATATATATATATATATATATATATATATATATATATATAAATCTTTAATTGTGAAGTTCTGTGTTAGTATATTTCGGTTAGGTTTCCCGTAAAGTTGAGAATTTTACAATTAAATATTAATATATACATATATATGTATTTTGAGAACCATATGCTTAGAACCCGCCATTGAGATTGCTCTATGCAAAACATAAAATTTAAAGAAAAATTCTTTAGGGTTGTTCCTTTAATTTAACTTTTCCAAAAAAATCTCAATGAAGAGAATTATCAAAATATGTTTTATTAAAGGGTAAATATAACTTATCTTTCTACAATTAACAAATCTAGATTAAGTGTTTAGAGTCTATACGATTTTGGGAGTGAGGTTTAATTTTTCTTTAAAAAAAAATTATAAAAATTCGAATTTGAAAATATAAAACTTGAAATTATTATAAGTAATTTTTCTTTTCTGTATATTTATATATTTTTAAAGTAAATGATAGTAGTAGTAGTGTCTTTTTCTCTTTAGTAAAATTTTTTTGGTCATTTTTTTTATTGGATGCTATTTTGGTGACAAAAACCTAAATATACATCATCAGTTATGAAATGAAAAAACACCTTCCTCTGGGAAAGGGCAATCCAATTTGTTGGACCTAAGAAACAGTCTCTTGAGTGATGTAGCGGAACCGAGCACGGGAAATATGCTGTTGTTGAATGTATTTCTAGAAAGATCCAGAATCTCCAGGTTATTTAATCTCCTTAAGCTCTTATAGCCTGCAAACGAAAACCTTTTGTTTTGGATAAATGCAAACGAGCTTCTTGCTAAACATTTGAGTAAACTTACCTTGAAATGCTGTTAGTGCAGAAAAATTGTTATAACTTAGATCCAGAGTTTTCAGCATCCTCAGGGCAGATAAATCTGCCACAAGACAAAATTTAGCACAAATGTAAGCACCTTTACCTGTGAACATCATGATTTCAAAGATTACACGAACCGATGTTACATGCAGCTATTAAATCAATAATAACCTACCTTGTACTTCTAGGGGGCCTTTAAATCTGTTTCTACTCAAGTTTAACAGTTCCAAGTTTGTCAAATCTTTAAGTTCTGAAAGGAAAACAAATAAAATATAAGACTTACAAAAAACAATTATAACTACTGAATCGAACCAACAACATAGACATCATCGGTAATAAGGTCATCATGTGTATCCACTTGGTTACAAATGGATTTTTTTTTTCTTTTGACAACAAACGTTATATTAATCTAAAACACCTCAAGGGCTTGAGAGAATACAACAGGAGGAAAACTCAACAGCAAGCTGATTAACGAAGCCTACTACAACAAAAGGAAAGATAGATATGTTTAAGGAGTGAAACGACCCGAAGAAACGCTTCACTTGGGATCCGAAAACTAATGTTTGAAAGAACAATTGATAGTCGATATCAACGTTGAAACACCCAAATAAAAGGGTTTGGAGAGAGGCAGAGATGCCGATTAGGTAGCTACGATTGGCTAACCAAACAACTAGACCAATGATAACAGCTCTAATACCGATGTTGACCTGGGAGACTAGGTGAATCTCAATTGATCCGGAGAGCACATGGTTACATGGAAATAAAACATACCTTTAGCAGGAAAAGGGCCATCAAAGTCGTTATCCCGAAGAGAAAGAGTTGTAAGTGAAGTAGCCGCATTAAGAAAGGGAAATATGCTGCTGTTGAACTCATTTGAAGAGAGATCCAGAATCTCCAGGTTTCTTAATCTACTTAAGCTTTTATAACCTGCAAACGAGAATCTTTCTAAACATATAATAATGATAACATATTTCAATCATTTATTGTAATTTTTATGTGAAGGGAATTGAAACGAGTGTTTCACGTGTTTGCAACACACAACAAGCACACAGACGTGAGCAACTCAATGCAGAAACAGGGGAAGTCCAAGCACCATAATATCAAAAAGATAAAATGTTGAAACAATAAGGTAACATTTACTTCATATAATAGGTTTCTTAAGAACATATAAGAAGTTAAAAATCTATATATATTTAAGAAGTTCCAATGCAAAACAAAAAAAAAAAAAAACAAAATGATCAAACTAACCACAAGGGAAAACCTGGCACATACCTTCAACATCATCAAACACACCATTGAAACGGTAGTAAAAGAAACCGAGAAATTCATGGCCTCCATGGAAAGAAAGACTACGAACATCTTCGAAGGAATGCAGCAAAGAAAGATTTAGGAGATAAGTATCTTTGAGATACAAATCACCAAAATCAATATGGGTCACCCGTTTGCTTGCAGGATTGCACTTTACACCATCCCAACGGCAGCAATCGCTCTTTGCTTCGTAACTCCAAGTAGGAACAACGTAGTCAGACATCTCTTTAATAGTAATTGAGAATATGTATTTCTTGAGATCCAACAAAGCCTTCCTTTCTTTTTCAACACAGCTTTTGTATCCATGTAGCTGCCCCAACAGTAATATCACCCATATCAAATATTGTCCCAAGAAAAACTTCCTCTCCATTTTTTTTTTGGTTAGAATTGTGGGTTCAATGCAAATGCCTCCACCGTTATATATAAATATACAAATAGAAAAATTCCAAGTACCTGTTAACGAGAACACTTTTAAACCATGACATACGTAAAGTGAGTACCGTTTACCTATAACTTCCTGCACCATGCGCAGAAATTAAAATTTCAAAAGAAAATTTTGATTTATATTTCAATATTATTAATTTATATTTTAACTTCAATAATTATAAAAAAAATCAGAAACGTATCTTTGTAATCTATTTTCTTTTGATTTGCTATAACTATTTAAATTTATTTTATTTTAATTTTAATAAAGATAAAATTAAATTTTATAAAAATAGTTTAAATTATACTACTTCGTTTAATGATTATGTATTTCAAATATATATCTCTTCCGATCAGGACTCTGTAGTTTTCCTATCTCCTTCATACATAACGTCTTTGATGTTATGGATTCCGTGGAGACTGAATCTTCTTTCAGACCAATAACCAACAAAAGCCACGAACATTGGAAATTCTCCTTCATACATAACGTCTTTGATGTTATGGATTCCGTGGAGACTGAATCTTCTTTCAGACCAATAACCAACAAAAGCCACGAACATTGGAAATTCTTTGACTAATTGTCTACAATGCTTCTTTCTAAACCTCTCATCTTTGGATAGAGTGTTCCATCCTTTACAAGTGGATTTTACTTCTTTTAGAGAAGTTATCGGGACCTTAGAGAGTGTCCCCTCTACCAAATCTAATGAAATTAATTAGGGTTTTTAGGGTTGCCCTTCTCTAGACAATAAAGAATTATTTTCGATTAATATCATTTTCCTTTTTTCAATAACTTAATCAATTTAGTTACTTTTATTAAAATGTTATGAAGAGAAAAATACATTGTTTCTATTTTTTGCCTTTTACATATATACTAAAAGGAAAATCAGTTTTATCATTTCCAAAAAAAGAAACCAAGTCAAAATTCTAATATATTTGAGACTTTGTTTTTTTTCGTTAAACTGAAAAATCTTTTTGTTAATTTAAATGATGAAGATGAATAGATAAATTTAAATAATGTTTAAATATTTAACTATCAAATTTTTTTTGGATTAGTGTTACTTTATTTAGTTTATTTTTATTAATGTGAGATACATATATATTATTATTTTAATTGTGATATATGAAATATTAAAATATGTAATAGTTTAACATAAATAAATATTTATATGGAAAATTGATATTATTAATGATATATAAGTTATTTTTTTACCATATTTAAAATCCGTGTAAAAATGTTTAAATTCTTATAAGAAAATTTTACATCTCACAATTAAAGATGATGCTAGGTCTTCTTTTTTAAGTGTCATGTCATATTTTTTTCAGCTAGAATAATTGTAAAGATGACATGTGGCAAATCACTTCTCAAATATAGTACATTCTCAAATATAGTACAGGGGACTACATGATAAGAAAGTCAAGGTCTTTGTAGAGAACACTCATAATAAATGCGTGATATATGTCTCAATGAAGACCCATTGAACCCAATAACAAGTTCACAAAGACATTGGTTGAAACGTAAGGAAAAACTTTGTAAAACTATGTTACATGTTAATGAAAGATCAAGGCTCAGAATGTCTTTAAGTTTTGAGAGATCTCCAAGCTCTGTCGGGAGAAAACAACTAAAATCATTGCTTGGCAGATTCAACTGAAACATATAATCAAGTGGTCCTCCACGCAAATAAGATGACACAGAGTAAAAATCATAACTATGCTTTTGCAGCAAATTTGATTTCGACAGTTAGATACAGTATGTGCTGTAGTCTAACTAGAATTTCTCAATCACAAATGTGGACTTGTAAAATCCCCTGTAAAGGATCCCACTAAAGATATTTTCCAGTTAGTAGTAGTGACCAGACGTTCTCTTTTTTCAATATAAATGATATTCCCTCCGTTTCAAAATAAATGTCACTTTGACATATTTTCATACAGATTAATAAAGTAGATGAAACATATGTAAGTTATTATTAATTACACCTCTCTGACCAATAGTATTTGAGATAAATAAAATTATTTATAAAATCAATGTAGTTTGCAATTAATTTTTAACTGAAAATAAGTATAATTTGTATTGGAATTGTAAAGTGACACTTATTTTGAAACAAAATTAAAAAGCTAAAATGACACTTATTATGAAACTGAGTAAATTAGTGAGGCATGAAGGATCAAAGCCATTGAGCTTATGTGTGAAAAATGCCTGATGTTACTCAAATCACACAGCTTCATTGGAATGAATCATGCAGATTGAAACCTATTAAAAAAGGAATAGTGAGATCCCCAGTATTGCCAAAAAACCGATGAGTTATATACACTCCCAGAGATTTATGTTTCTGAATTTTTCAACAGAGTGTTCCAAATTTTCCCTGTTAAGTCTGTTGCCTTCTAGCCTTCTAGGAGATTGCTTGAAAGCATATAAGAACTCAACAAGAAATTCAGTAAATATACCTTCATGCGACAAGCATAAAGTGAGTGATCGTTATTTACTTTGAATGGTATGTGACGTAATTGTGTGATATGTCATGTATGTATGTGCCCATTTACTACGAAACAAGTAAGTCGAGTCTTTGTACTTAACAAATAAGTTAAAAGGAAATTAGAATTTTTTGTTTTGTTTTGGTTGGAATGTCCTCTTCAGACTTGTTGCTAGAAAAATCCAAAGTAAGCTTTGTTTACTAACGTGTTTCCACGGTAACTGAGTTGCTGGTGTGGCTTTATCTACTACGTAAGATACATGTGATGTTAACGCCAAAAACGCAAACGCTGTGTTTCGCATCATTCTTTTTCCCTGGTAGATAACCCTAAATCCTCATGAAACAGCAGCTACCATAGTCGCAGCCGCCCATCAAATCGGATTTGTAATCAGCAACTTATGTCGTCCTGGATCTTCTATCAGAGATGAGATCACCGATTGGAGAACGGCGACTGAAGATGATGGTGGAACAGATACACGTAAAATAATAAACGTGGAGACAAACATAGTGGGTCAAAATTAAAAAAGAGATAATACATCGGCGTTTTGCGGGAAAATGCGAGAACAGAGGACTGTTATGCAAACTTTTGCAAGGAGATGCGTTGCTTGGTAAATAGTATATTCTTTTTGGTACCAAACATGAATTAATTAATTTAACGATAACCTGAAATTATCTTCTGACCATAACGGGAATATTCGTTAGTACTATGATCTGAAGAATGGATAGATCCACCAAAGCAGGTCAATGGACCGACTTCTGGATAATAATAGATCCCTACTAAACGGACAGACACCAATTGAGTGTCTGAAGTCTGAAGAAAGACAGATACAAAAAGACCGTTAAACAAGCAAAATCCTATTGATCTAAGAGATTGTCATGGCGCAGCGGAATATGTGTATAAGTTCCCTTGACCTTGTGTGAATCTATGAGGAAAATACTTCGACAATAGCATGATATAATATAAACAAAAACTAAATGAGACAAACACTTTTTAAATGGAAAATTTCCTCGATGTGAGAAGGAAAAACCACGGGACCGTAGTCCACTCAACAATTTACTATATAAATGTATGTGACTACAACCACGTCCTCTATGTTCAACAATCTGAATAGAACAGAGATTCAGCTACAAATAGCTATCTCCAACCCAAGAACAACAAAACCAGGGAACAACAACAAAGCTTCAAAACCGGCAGCAACCAAACGACCTCAGCTCACAAGGATTCCGGCAACCAGAGAATAATCTCACCGTAAAAATCCAAGATAAACAATTCAACAATACCTCTTCCAAATTTCAGCTCAAACCGAGAAGATCACACTTTCGGATTTACCAAACACTTAAGACAGCACTGCTGAAGAACTGTGACGACCAGCTTCACGAAAACCCAGACAATAGAAGATCCAACCGTTGAAATCCAAATCCCTTCGGTGAACCTTTAATCCACTGACTGAAGAAGCTTCCCACAAAATATCAGCCTAAACGGAGTCCGTTTAACCCTCCAAATCTGCCTTAACAAACCCAGACGAAAATCTACCTCTTCTCTCTTTTCTCTCTTTTGCCTCCTTTCTTTCTTCTAGTGTATCTCCAAAAAGTCTTACCATAAAATTAGGTTAAAAGACTTTATATAATGTCTCACTAATCCTAAGGCCCAATACTAATCTCATGGATAAATATCATTGGTCCAACATCCAAATTTGGTTATCACCAACCAAATCCAATGGGTTTCCTCCATCTAGAAGGAACCCAACATATCACACTTTGTCCCAAGAAAAACTTCCCCTCCATTTTTTGGTTATGATTGTGGGTTCAATGCAAATGCCTCAACCTTTATATTTAAACTAGGATAAGACCTGCGCCTTGCGCAGGGTGAATATATGTAATTAAAATATAAAATTTTAGTATTGACAAATTTAAAATTTACATATGATTGATTTTGTATGTATTTGAAATTTAAGAATTTTGAAATATTTATATAATTATCTATACGTAGGATCAGAAACACTTTTAGTTAGAAATGTAGATCAAATCTTAGAATTTAATGGATCTGATTTCATATATCTTTTCACTTTTCAGTGTTCGAGTGATGGAAAATAAATGGAGTGTCACTAGGCTTGATTGGTAGAGTATTAGCAAGTTCCCTAATGTTTTTTAAGAAGCAATTGGTAAAATATTTGCTTTTAAAATATATAAAGTTTCAAAAATAATTTAATATAATTTATTTATCTGTCTAATAATATTAGAAAATTCTATTTTTTTACAAATTATTATTTTTTAAATAATTTATAAAAAATTTCTTAAATTTTAAATCATTTTTAAAAGCAATATTTTAAGTTTTTCAAATACAAATAAACAATTTAAAATTAATTATGGTCATGATTTAACATAACCATAATGATTTAAAAAAATTAAAAAAAATAACAAATTAAAAATTAACTCAGTTTTATATCATGATTTAACAATTTAAAAATTAATTATGGTTATGAGTAATTTACGTTCACGTGTCAGTCCTATTTATGTTCCATTTTTCTCTTGTTATGTTTTTTTTTATATTTTTGTTATTACTCGATATAAATATTTATTTTGAATTTATTCTCATTTCGTTTATTTTAGAAAATACTTAAGATTT